CACTGCATTTGGAAATGACGTTAGAGGACAGACCCCTAATCGGCAACAAACCAACGCTCGAATCCGACCGATGCTACGAAGGACGGTTGCACGACAAAAAAAATTTAAAAAAGCGCTGTGCATCAGCAAGCCATTCGAAGACAATTCAGCATTTAAGTTCGTTCCAGATAAAGGTTTTGTAGCATAACTCTCCTGGCACTCTACTCAATTTCTAAAGAAAATACTTAGTCGCGACATTAAATGACGTGAGTAGTGCAACTAATTGAAAATAAGTCTCAATACCTGTGTAGAAAAAAATGATACAAGAACTTTCTTAACTAGGCCATCGGTTGCCCTATGCGCTACTAGTATTCAACTTACATTAAGAAAGAGAAACATCAAACATGCTAAAATTCCCAGTTCGTGGTACTACTTAAAAACAGCAGTACTTACCTCCTATCCAGGTTAAATATAGTTCTGTATATTGATCAGGAAACCTGAAGAACCGGATGGATTCACATTGTTTTGTTTTGCTAGGACTAGCTTTCGCTAGCTCTGCAATCTCTTCCTTAACGAAAGAATATTAGATTGCTGAACAGAAAAGTGATGTTAGGCAAATGAAGTGCTAAAAAACACAGGGATGCCTAAAATTGTCCCCAAATTGTAGTTAGAACTTAAAACTAAATGAATTCCTAAACCAAAGCCATGAATAGAACTTTCAGTACCGTGGATAGTCTCGCTTAAATTTTATAACAATACTTTGTAAGAACAAGCCAAACGATCTTCCTCACTGAAGGATTCCAGGCCAGCTGGTCACTACCCTAGCTAGCGCGTTCCTAACCCACAACGGGCACTTGCCGTTTAGCGTAACCCTCTAAAGTGGAGTAAGAGCAATTTTTCGTCGGCTACGGATTTTCTGGTTTTTTGAAAACAAAAGTGGTTCTCAAATAATTAGAATATCTTAGGGGTTGAGAACGCAAAACAACTGTAGAATAGAACTCTATGGGCATGAACGATATGTATACCACTATTTACTATGCCATATGTTACTATGATCCATTATAAAATACAAAAATACACCACTGTCAGCAATTGGAAGTATTCTGCACTCTATGATCAGCCTATTTTAGAGCTTTTGTACCCACATGTTCCGTGCAATATCCATAGCGACTAAAACGAAGTGACAGCAAGTTGTTATTTAAATTACCGGTCAATGGACTTTTTCGGAAAAAGGTTTTTTGTAAACCATTAAGTGCAAAAAACGGTTTTTTCTGGTCTCACACCTACTATTTCAATCCGCTTTTAAGTAGCTATTGAATGAATGTGCCCAGTGCGGTTGAAAAAATCTGGAACACTAAACTGAAAATGAATACTATAGTGTTCATTCGTGTTATGAATTAAAAAGAGGATGAATAATGGGTAAGACGGGGTTGTATGCGAAGAAAAAAGTCTTTGTACATGTCCCTTTGCCAATATGGATTCGACAGATGGGTTTTTTGTTCTCTGGTGTATCGAACTAACATACAGCTACTGCATGCATGTAAACTTATGTGACTATGGTCAAGCATGCGTGCATGGCTGTGTTTGCGGACCATCCTCTGCATTCGACTAAAAGGCTCCAATCAAGTGGAAAGGTAGTATATCGAAAAGAAGTAGGACCCGCCTCTAACAAAAATAAAGATTCCTCGTCTACTCTGGAAGAAACCAGTAAGTCATCAGCGCGTACATTATGCTCCCACGTTAACAGTCCACCAAACAACAAACAAACAGGTACTGATCACCAAAATCGGTAAAAAATAATGGGCCCATTCTCCGACCCCGGAGTGGCCCTCGACATAGCAGCATTGGGCAGAATGGAGTTAGATGTAATGCAAAAATCTCAGAGAAACTCTGAGATGTCTTCACCTGTATAATGAACATTCGCAACTATAACGCAAACAAGGTATCACCTTTATCCTCCAAGAGGACTTTAGAAGCTAAGAAAATCAAAGATGCCGTCGTAACGGCACATAGATTCCGCTTACACAACATTGTTAACCATACCGAAGAACTGCATTTTAGAACGTGTGACAGCATAGCTGTCAGAGGCACTAGCACCTTTATCACTAAGAGCTCAACCACCGACATAAATTTCTTCAATATTAACGGCTCAAACAGGACAGCTTGAGCCGACAAAATGCAGATCCACGCCGGTTTCTGCAAAATTTGTTACACCTTAACACCAAACTGTGATAAAGATGGAACCGAAGAATTTCACATGCATAGGATGCACATGGAAGACCATGCTTCAGGCAGTCTTCAACGGTGAAATCAACAACAAAATCAACTAAAAGAGAATGCGTGAAGAACTTCACATTTAGATTAAAGGAATGGAATCAAACGAAGAGAGTTGCCGTCAGAGTTTGTCACAAAAACCAAAACCGTTCACGATAACATAACTCCGGAAGTACTTTTCTCAACGTTGGACGTTTGAGACCCCCAGAGGAAACTACCATGATAGGTAAAACACAACATTTTCAAATCCTAGTTAGATTTAACCTCGGCATGGATGGGCAATATCATGTTACAATTTTACCATCTTACAGCGACATCATTGGCATAGAGAGCGGGATTCGATAACGCTGTACTGTTTCGCCAAAGTTATCCACTCTCGCAAATGTAAAACGAAAACTGGAATTGAGTAATGTAGGAGTAAATACTGACGTACGCAACGCATGGCTGAAGATGAGCGGCATCGGAGCATCCAAGAGCAACGAGTATGTGGTAATGAGGACTAAGAATATTCGGCTCCGTAGACACCATTTCGAATCCACAATTCTTCTTGTCTTAACGTATGTGCCGGGAACTTGGGTGCTATAAAATCATGAAAGACCACTCAGAAATAGTGAATGCGCAGTCAGGAGTGCGATGCTGGGAGCATCCCGTACCACGCAATTGAGAAAGAGAAACCGGAGTTCGGAGATAGGTCGGTGAGAGAAGATTAATAAAACTACCGCATATGCGAAAATGCTGAAAACGAAGTAAGTCGAAGACATAAAGGTTCTAGATGAAATCCGGTGGATAGGACCATTAGGCCGATGGATCCCAAGCGCACATGAGAAACAGCACCGATCCAATGGTAAGACTTTTTTCTAAAGATCCTAGAAGAAAAATAGGCTGTTCTTCGAAATCCTAGAACAAGTACAGCTCACAACTCAAAAGATCGACTTTCTATAAACCTATGCACAACTATCGACATGTATATAATATGTATATGCATACACATACATGGAAAAACATGCATATACATATGCACATATATATGTACATATATACATATATATGTATGTTCTTACAAACTGCCCTTATTCAGCCGACAAGAGGTTGGCATAGATCTTCTTCCTGTTGATTTGATGCTCTTCAATGGTTAACGTTTCGGGAGCTTTACCTTCCTGGGCGAACCGTATGTAACAGCAAACCCATGATTCGACGAGCTCCACAATATTAATGAAGATCCAGCATATGAATAGACGGTAATTTTCAAGAACTACCCACCGTGCTGCTGGACCATACCTGTATTGCACATCACTTTTGCAAGCGATTGAAAGAAATGAAGATTAGTAGCGCCCTCTCGAGTCACTCCGCCATCTCAACGGGACTATGAGTGACATGTGACAGATTAACCACCTCTTCCTAGCACTTTTCACAAATAGAAGAAATTAACAATGAGGTTAAACAGCAATCAGGTACCACTGTTCATACATTAGCTAAATATTTTTACTCACAACCGTAACAACTTAACCACCATAAACCTTCAACCACATTCTAGCAACCATTCACAATGAACTTTTTGAAAAGGAAACAGCTTCACTTCTAATTTGACAAAATAACGAAAACGTACAATGGAGAAGCAAGATAAGAAAGTAGTGGAAAATAAGAGCGAAAACACAAACCTTCAAACGACTGAGAAACCCAGGAATCATTGTAGGCCCTCCCGTCAACAAAATGCTGCTGAACATAGGCTTCCGCAAATCCAAGGGAGACTGAACGCGGATGGAAGTAAATGGTGAACTGGCAAAAAGTCAACAAACTCACTCTTTCCACAAGTGAGTGGATTAGTTGCTGAACAGAACTGTCGTCATTACCAGGCTCGAAAAACACTTCACAAGCAGCCTCTCTAAAAATGGTTACGATTTACTGTTAGACCACAGACCACTTGTTATTTAAAGAACGTTTAGTAAGCTTAATTGTTAACTATACTTACCGAACAAAGCCTGGAATTATGAGAAAATCGGTACCAAGAGGTAGCTTGACAGATTTTATGGGCGGAAGGCCATGTTGAGCTCCAAGCGTTTGAATAGCTATGCCGCGCTCACGTGGACAACAGAACGCAAATCGAACACAGATTTCTTCTATAATACCTGAATCCTGAAACAGAACTTGTTAGAGAAAGGAGAGCAAGTTGTCTGCGGTTAATTGTAGTGGTGCCACTCAACGGTTTACCGCCTCATCGTAGCTGGCAGGTGTTCCTGGGTGTCGAGCTGCGATGTACAGCTGAGAGATCCAACAGGACTCCCCGACAGGTCGTCTCAAGGTGAGGAGCCTGGCGTTTTCACCGGGAAGCCCAGCCAAGAGTAAACCAATACAAGAATCCACCACCGTCCTGGTATTAAACTAGTTGCATGGTGGCAAGTTTCCCTCTGATCCACAAGTTCGGGACTCCAAGGAACCACAATGGCTAAAGAAGCAAAACTCCGAAAAATGGAAACTATGCTGGATCCTGCCCAACCAGTAAGTCGATCCATCCAAAAATCCAATTAAGTAATTTTAGTTATCACCTCAATAATTTTCCAGTGTTCATCGCTAATATCACATGGTCCTTCGCACGTTTCCATACGGCCGTGCTCCTTAAGTAACTCTCGTACTCTGTTTTCCAACTTCATTGCACCAATGTTGGAAAGCTCCCAACAAGATAACATTACCACACCTTCAGCAACCTGCAAAAATACGCTAAGTAGTTTATGTATACAAATTACTATGGCTTAAATGCTTCCTACCGGAATTCCTAACGTTTCTGCATATCCGACATCTACAACAAGGGCATTTTCTGTGTTAAATGGAAAAGTTGCGCAAAGGTGTGAAGGGATGAAGAGCACACTAGGCACATTCAGCACCACCAGAAGTGCCTAGAGTAAGAAGAGTTCTGCGACAATTTCGAGCACGCCTTAAATTAATGTGAGGAGACATTGTATTATACAAATCTAAGATTGCGAAAAACTGTACAGAATATGGAATTTTCAACGCGGTTATCTGTTGTGATAATAAAAGATTCATGGTATGCTTATAGGGGTTTGTGTAGCGCAGCGGTCACAGGCGCCCTGCAACACATACATGGGATCGATCCCCGCGCCCCTGGCCCGCCAAGCCCTCCATCACTCCCGGGTCGGCAAATCGGTACCACAATTGGCTAGGAGGACAGCAGCACCGGCTCGATACATCGGTAAGCCACCGTGATTCATTGTATGGGCCAGATTTGCACTCATTCATCTCCAACGATGCTTTACGAAGTCGAATGCATGGTACATCCCTCAAGGATTGATCAACGCCGAGAGCTTTACCCTTTATCCTTTTATCATATGATAATCGTTAAAACCATTATGATGTCCTCATCAGCAGTCTAACAATATGTATTCTTTCTTGATAAGCTTACACGAGGTTGATAAATATATTTATTTTCGGCTAACGTTTCGACGTCTTCGTCTTCCTCAGAGCCGGTGATCCGAGTCGATGGTCCATGCTTGTTGTTCGCCTCGACGTTGCGTCTTCGCCTTCCTGTCGAGCCAGATCTTCCTCAGTGAGCCATCTTCTCGAATGAGGCATCCTCACTCAGTGATGCCCTTTTATACACGATGCTGATGGTGGGGCTGATATAATGACAATGTCCGGTGGTAACAACTTGTATTTCTTCCGGACATACATCACTGCGCACATCGTGCAGAGGTCGGTGTATTATCAGCTAGCACAAAGCGTAGTAATATTTCGAAACCGACCTTCCCTAAACCTCGGTGTGATTAATCAATATGTATTCTTTCTTGATAAGCTTACACGAGGTTGATAAATATATTTATTTTCGGCTAACGTTTCGACGTCTTCGTCTTCCTCAGAGCCGGTGATCCGAGTCGATGGTCCATGTCTAACAATAGTCTATAATAATAAAAAAGTCTAACAATAATTCCAATACTGCGGAGCTAAATGCCCCATTCCATGAATTAAAGACGGTTAAATGAAGCAGTAAAAGTGATAAACCCTTCGCAATATACTTAAGTACACCACAACCTTATTAGTTTTTAAAAACCCTTCGGCGGAGAACACTTCATTTCGCGACTAGCTTTAAGTCACAACCTAAACAAGTAAAAAATTATGACACTGAGGCATGGAGTACTTTAAACGCTATTGAGGACACTTCCGCACACAGGCTATCCTATGTTGTTTCATCGGAGTCTCCCTCATCTAGAAGAACAGAAGACAGACGTAACCTACCTCACAAATGCGCTCCCTTAAACTAGTTGGTGTCAGAAGATTTTCAACAATAACAACTCGTCGTTCACGTGGCATTGTTAAAAGGTAACTGAAACGAAGAACCCTTCTGAACAAGCCCCGTAACAAATGGACGAAACCAACTGGAATACCTGTTAAAAATCTGGTGGAAGAACTTAACAATTACGGGTAAACTGGGACAACCATCATTCTGTGACTCGTTCTGCTCATAAAGAGATACAGCGAAATATTTCGAGTGAATAATCGCTCGTGGAACGAATTCACCAGCAAATCCAACTCTAGAAGGCCAAGTCAGAATAAAGGACATCAGTAAAAAAAAAGAGTTAAAGTAGTATAAAATATAATTTTGTACCTAAATGGCTCTGTTCACGAAGAATCCTGCAGGTCTTAGCATGCTTTCCAACTAACTCGTAAGCTGCTTGCTTCGCAAGGCTTTTCCCTAGAACCCCGAGAAACCCTAGCCAGTATATTCTCGCGTATTTCCCACCTTACAAATAAGAATAATTTTTACTCCGATGAACCTTACCAAGGACGAAACCCTGATGTACACTGCAGTTAGACATCGAAGAACCTAACCAAGATGTATAAACCCTGTGGGGTGAAAGAAAAAAGGACATTCAAACGACTCCAATAGCCAAAATGATAAAAAGGCAAAAAATAAACCTTAGTGGAACCCACTTTATAAGGCGTCTTCCAAGGTCTATAACCACTGCAGGTTTACTATTTTCAATGCTATTAATCGCATGAGAAAGTGAAGTACACGTAGCCAAAGAAGACAAGGAGCGTTGAGTGAAACTCGACGCCTTCACGCCCGCAGACATCCAATTCTGCAAAAGCTCTCAATTTTAATAAAACACCTACCACAAATCGAAACACAAGACTAACTAGTACTAAGTTTTGCAGTCCAGAAATAAGCGAGCGTTCTGCTTTCGGTGTAATTGCACAGAAAACAGGTAAATCGCCGAACATTGTGAAGGAAGTCCTTCGATCTTCTTCAGAAATCAGTTGCAACTTATGAGGGTAAGAAACCTATTCCGTGGAGGCTACTTAAGGAAATCGGTGGTTAAATGGTCCATTATAGAGTAAATATGAATAATACATGGATACCTGAGGAAATGTGAAGAATACAAATATGAACTTGTTCGACGGTACTCATCGTAGCTTCTGTTCTTTCGGAGTTTTGTTGGTTTAGCCGCTGTAGTTCCCTGGAGTCCCGAGGTCAGTTTAGCTAAACTCTTCCCCAGGTCATTACCACCAAAGCTAGTCGTCGCCCTTGTGGATCAGAAGAAGATTTTGCACTGTGCGACTAGTTTCATACCACGACGGTGGTGTATCCGGCTATTGGTTTAGTCTTAGCTGGGTTTCCTGATTGAAATGCCAGATTCCTTCTCAGCATGGTAGACCCTGCTAGAAGATGAATCCCTCCGCTGTACATCCCATCCCGACACCCAGGAACACCTCCTGGCCACGATGACGCGGTAAACCGTTGGGAGGAAATGTGAAGAATACATATATGAATTCCAGTTAAATGAAAAGTAAATCGGAGTGCGATGTAGTGTATAGAAGAGAATGAGCATGAGAATGAGAAAAAAGCAAGAGAGGGGAAAATGACATGCTGTATGCCCTGCTGGTGACAGTACGGGAAAGGTCTGCGACACTATAAATTTTGGTCTTCTTTTTTTCTTTATCTAAACAAATTCTCGACAAATTTTCGTCAGGGTTAGCGATAACACTCGAATGTAGATACTCGACAGTAATTTACTGCCTAACTGCATTTAAGTTCTAAAGAATTGTGTAGAGATTAACTGCACACTTCCGTCGAAAGTGGGCCAGGTATCTGCACTTCTTTCGTCCTTCATTCCAACACAGAGCAGTTTTGATACGATATAGCAAGTAGAACTTAAAGCTAAGTCCAGCGTATGCTTCGCAGAAGTGAATATCAGTTCCACTGATCCTTGCAGTACTGCGGAATGTGGTGCTAAAAGCTGATGAAGAGTGGATGACGGTTTAATTCTGATGCACTGCCAAGACTCCCCAAGAATGGTTTAGTATGTGTGTCGTCACTAAATAGCAGATTATTGGCAGCCTTCTAATCTTCTGAACTGTAGCGATTGGCTGGTTCTGTTCAGTGAAAACGTCCGAAGGAAAAGAAGTCCGCTTCCTAAACGACAGCTCTCATCCATACGTTCTGATGGTCGTACAGTGTACACTGGAAAACCTTTAGTGGAGAATCCTTTCCATTCCTAATCAGCTGTACTTTTTTTTACTTTTGTTTTGTTCATTACTTTTTCCTGCAAAAACCTTTTTCGGACACTCAAGAACCTTTGAGAGAGAAATTTTTATGATTCCCTCCAAGTTGAGAACGAAAGCGAGAAGGGATTCACTTCTCCACGACGAAAGTTCTAAAAGGCGGTCATATAAGATCCTTAAAAATCTGGAGACTTATCATAGATGCTTAAAGATGGTGTTGATATTGCGAATTCACAGTGATGCTGAAATGTTTGCAAAACTACCGACCGCAGGCGTCTGCGGTGGGGATCGAAACCGCCACTACCCTTTCCGGGGCTAACGTGTTTAGCTCCACACTCTGCTGGCACTTCGTTTCGTCTTTCTCTCAAGCGTGTTTGATAGACGCTATCACCAATCACCCGTCAACAAGATTGATCATTGCGGCTATATTTTACATTATACCTTGCCGTGGAAAAAGAATAGGCAGTAAATAAAAGGTGGGTGTATTATGATTTATACTACAGGTTCAGCTTAACTAGGTTTAATGCAGTTTTGTGCTCCTAAGATCAGTCCTGTTGACGGGTGATTGCTGATAGCACCTATAAAAGATGGCTGAGAGAAAGATAAAACGAAGGATCCGCAAGGTGTGGTGGTGAACGCGTTAGCTGCCAGAAAGTGTACTGGCGAGTTCGATCTCCACCACGGACACGTGCGATCCACAGTTCTGCAAATATCTTAGTATCGTTGTGGTTATATTTCACGTCAAACCCTATCATGAAAAAAGAATAGGCAATAAATAAAAACTGATTAAATAGCGACTTCATTTCCCAGATCAGTAAGCAGAAGGTTATGAAGAAGATTTTTTCTGTGTGGTCTAGCGTTTCATTCAATACAACAATTGTTCACTTCCGGTGTAACCACTTCGTCGTATTTAGGAAAATCTTAGTCAGCTATTACGGTGATTCTGAAAAGATTTCAATACTTTTAGAATGATGGTGCTAAATTATGTATATGGCTTTCTGGTCTAGGATTTCTCAAAGATATCTACGCAATATCTATAAACCTTTCCTATTAATTTTCATTACGGTAACTGTTTTGGAGAGCACCACAAAAACCTAGCTGGTTCCCTATTTAGCTATTTTTCCCTCATCCGCTTAAGTCACCAGTGGTACAGAAATTCGTAAACAATGGAACTAACAATAGTCATAAACATCAGAAGCAAAGAAACAACTTGCAGTTCTCGACGGTTGCGCTCCTTCCCCTCATCACTGATCCTCACTTTATGCGCTATCTTCCTTAGATTGTTCATCGATGATACGTTTTCCAGATGGTCCCACGGCATTAGTTCAGTCATTCTTCCTCAAAATTATTCTCGATCTTCTTATTCTTGATCGATTCTTAGCACACAGTGTTGCTTTCAAATTCAAGTTGTTTAGAGTTCCTATAGACTTTGATAGATGAAAGGATAGATGAATACTGATGGATAGGTGACAGACGATCTCTTTCTAATATAAGAAATAACGAGGAGATAAAAATGGGCGTCTGCCATATTCCAAGTGATGGATGATGCTCTTTTCAAGTGAACGAAGCTTGCAGCTAACAAACATTCCACACTGTCTCTCGTCACTCAAGCCTCAGTCAGAGAGAGTCGTTTCCCACTCTTCGTTCGTTGTGGCGATTCGGTGAATGTGATTTCACGTCATGCTGGCATAACTGGTCCTAACAAATCGCCCAACAGTTCCGGTGTATCACTCTGACATGCCTACGTACGGTCCATTGCGCTCCAGCTGCCCACAGTCGCTGTCACTCCAGCCTCTTCGCTCACACGACATCCAGAGAGCATCCTTGTTATTATTCCATTTCATACTATTCGATTACGGTTACATTTGCCGTATCTATTTCATACAACTTTCAACCTCGTTCGATCTAGCTTCAGTTATATCAGTAAGGGTCTTCTCTTTCGAAATTTGAACTGGGCCTTCGGAACTAGCCAAAAATTCCCAATTCATGTGTTGGTAGCGGATTCATTATCTAGATGTAAAAGTGCGTTATCTATTGGCAGACTCTCTGAGGGAAATATGAACAGAAATGTGCATTCAATTCTATACCGAATTAGGCTTAGAAAGAAGTTTTTTGCAACAGTAAGCAGATTTTCCAATCTTTTATAGCTTCGTTGCAGTACAACTTCATTCTACGGTAAATCATCTATCTATCAAGTCTTTCTAGAGTTCAGTGCCTTACGTCGATATATGTATCAGATACGAAGTGATGAAACAGCAGATATCATTTTGGCTTCGTTTTATTTTTGAGACGCTGATTTGAACATTATTCTTTATTTATTTTTATTTTATTTTATGTGACCTGTCCTCACGTTTACGGTGTGGATCCCAGCACTTATCACATTCGACTCGTTTCCGCATCCATTGTCCACGAAGATCTCGCATCTTTCGCTTGTGGCTTCGGCTGCTGCTTGAGGATTTTCACTTCATCTTGAATGTCGTAGAATGCTGGACTAGTCTATTCTCCTGGTGTTCTGAGATAGTCAGACTGGAGCGTTCCCAATTGGATTGCAGAGAGTGATTTCTTCCCAGACAAGTCCGGTACCAATTTTATGACCCCGAAGGGATGAAAGGCCTGGTTAAACCGTAGCGGAATCGAAATAGCACCGTGTTTGTAATGACCTACATCACTACCACTGCGCTATCCGCCTCTACATAGCTGAACAGTGTGGCCCCCAAGGTTTGAACATACTCAGTCTAATTTTGGAACTGATCAGCATACACGATATCAATCACGCTAGTACCGGCTTACAGGGGTTCAAGCGAAGATATATCGGATCGCATCAACGATAAAGATAAAGTTCAAGCTTCCTCTCATAGAAATCCAAATTTAGTTTACGTTGAAATAGTTCCCATTATAAACAACGTAATGTTATTAACATGCTTAGATTTAGCTTTCATCTTCGGGAACAATTTTATTTAGAAGTTCTCTTCTTGTAAGCATTAAAGAGAAAGACTCGTGAGTACTGTTATAGATTTCATCGTCAAACTCAACTAATGAGATATTCCTGTCAAATAAATCTGATTGTCAAGGCTACCAATGTCCATTTCAACGACGGGAACATTCTAGCACTTTTTTTGCATAACAGTTCACGATTTACGAGCACGTTGTCCTAACTATGAAATAAAGGATAAAGCTCTCGGCGTTGATCAATCCTTGAGGGATGCGCCATGCATTTGACTTCATTAAGTATCGTTGGAGGTGATTGAATGCATATCGAGCCAGTGCTGCTATCCTTCCAGACAAGTTTGGTACCAATTTTCCGGCCCCAGAGGGATGGAAGGCTTGGTGGGTAATGGGCGCGTGGGTTAATTACACGTGTGTGTTGCACTGCGTCACACGCGCCCTTTGTTCCAACTAGGAGTCTGATCAGATAACTTATCACTGTTGTTTACTTTTTTAACTTAGCTTAGAACAGGCTTTTTGAACACCTATCGTAGCGAATCAACTGTACAGTTTGAATTGGAGAATCACTGATGCCTTTAGAGTTTTTCTGCTAAAAATTCGGTCGATATACATTTGGAACTATGTC